GAGCCCTGCAGCCCCCTTGGTCTAGGGCAGGGGGATCCCTGCATCTCTGGCTGCAGGACGCTTGCTTCTGCTCCCTGCTGGCCACCTGACTGTGGAGAAGGTGAGAAGTGCAATGGAGGGAATTTGATCTATGTAGACAGCGGCCACTGCAGAGGCCACACAGATGGACACTGACTACACAGGGCGATAGCTATAGGGATGACCCTAAGGGAGGCCCCATGTTGGCGTCTCCTGTGCGTGCCTCCTCCAGACCCTCTCACCCTGTGCCCCCACGTCACAGGCACTCTGTTTGCACCTAGCTTTTCTTTTTTTTTGTGGTATCGGGGATTGAACTTGGGACCTTGCGCTTACAAGGCAGGCAGTGGAACCACTGAGCTAAATCCCCGGCCCCTGCACCTAGCTTTTCCTGGCTTTTTCATCTTGTGCCTTAGCAGTCTCTTGACAGCGACCCCTGGCCTGGGCCCCTTCACGTCTCTCCAGACCTGCCCGCCCGGGCCGTGTGTGGTGTGTGTTGTGTTGACCCGGCCTCATGTGGATGGTGCTAGTTTCCGGCGCTTTGCAGTTGTGGACAGTGCCGTGCAGGGCTGCCTTGCCCAAAAGCAAGCTGGATGGGGTCTGGGTGTCTGGGGATAGAATCTGGTCCTTTGCGTGTCACAAGGCTGTGCTTCTGGTTCTGTCCCGCAGCGATCTGAGAGCTGAGCCTCGTGGTGAACGCCGTGTCCCTTCCTGCCCCTTATCTGCAGCACAGATGGCTCAGGTGTGCCGTGGCGCAGCCAGGCTTTGCCTGTACAGTTCTGTTGCTTCCTGCTCTTGCATCACGGAGATGCTGTCCCCACCTCTTGCTGGGCACTGTCTTGGGACTGGGAAGGTGCCGTGCTGGGGTCTGTGCTGTAGGATGCAGGGCTAGCAGGATGTCTGGGTGCAGGTCCAGTTTGGGGCGCCATGGTGGCCTGGTGAGGGGCTCTCCTGGACTCTGTACCTGGCCCTGTCAGGTGGTCGTGGGCCGCCTGGCTGGGCTGCCCTGGGCCCGTGGCGGCTTTGGCATCCCTGGCTTCCCTGTGGGATGCTGGCAGGACCCTCACACTGTTACAACCCCAGATGCCTCCAGACAAGGCTTGTTGTTCCCTTGGAGACAGACATGCTCCTAGCTGAGCTGCAGAAGAATGGGAAATAAGACTTTGTGTGTAACTTAGGCTAAAAGTCTAGAAGAATTGTGGAAATAAGGTTCAGGGGTTTGAACCTGGTGCAGCTGGTGGTGGGGAGCTGTTTGTAGGCATCAGAAAAAAGCCCCACGCCACACAGCGTGTGCACAGTGGGACTCGTGTTGGTTGCGCGTGCGAGTGTGTGTGAACACCGTGCGTGGACCATCCGTCCCTTCCCAGAGGAGGTTGGGAGGGAAGGAGGCTGGCGGGCCCTGCTGAGGCCCTGCTGCGGACCTGCAAGCTGCCCCGCTTCCCTGGGGGTGATGCTCCTTCCGTGCTTGCTGTTGGCTTCTCTGGAATGTCATTCAGTTTTGGTGACACACTCACACATCTTACAGACTCGTTGGTGTCCCCTGCAGGGCCGGCTAATGGCAGGGAACATACAGTGAACAAGACGAGGCCAAAATGAAGGTCCCCATCTCACTGAGTACCCGGACGTCCCCTCTGAGGCGGTGACAGTTGTGTGTAGCGGGAGGGGGGCGTCAAGGGCTCCTGAGCAGGCACAGCTGGTGTTGAGAGTGGCAGACAGGCCCGCCGCCCACCTGTAGGGGAGGCGGTGGGACAGGCTCGGCGGACGCTGGTCAATGGGAAATGAAGCCCCGGGCACTGAGCCTGTGGTGTGGCGGCCTGCAAGGCAGGGAAGGCAACACGGGACCCATCGGGCATCCGCCGCATGTCCTGCCTGTCCAGCTCCTCGCCTCGCCGGCATGAATCAGAGAGCATCTGAGTTGAGCTGCTGGGGTCACGTGGACAAATTAACCTCACCAAAAATAACCCCAAAAGCAGCATTTCTGGGAAACGAAAGTGAAGGCAGCTTTCATTGTAAACAAAGGAAGATAAAGGGTGGGTTGGAAAAAGTGAATTGTTGGAAAACAGAATAAAATGCTTTGGGAAAGAATACTGAGGAAAAAACATTTCGCTTGCAGGGCTTACAGTGTGAAGCATTTCCTTCCTTGTTCTCACGTCAGCTGCGGGGTGTGTGTGTGTGTGTGTGTGTGTGTGTGTGTGCAAGTGTGTGTGCGTGGGCAGCCCTCCGCTCTTCCTGTTGATCCACAGGAAGTGCTTCCTGCCGTTCCCGCTGGGAATGGGCAGCATGATCCCGTAGCGCCTGGGCCAGCCTTGGGCCACCCTGCTGCAGGGAGCCACTCAGGCAAATCACAGCCAACTGGGTCTGGGGGTGCCCGCTGTGGTCCCAGCACTGTGGCCAAGGCAGGAGGATCGCTGTGAGCACAAAGCCAGCCTGGGCTCCGTGGTGAGACCCTGTCTCAGAAATCAGACAACCAAAACACATCAGGTGGCTCCTGCAGAGCTCTCAGAGTGAGCCCCAGGGCTAGGCTGTGCCCCAGTCCCATGTGCAAGTGGGCTTGATGCCATTGAGGTAGCCCATCTCTGGGCCACGCTCAGGGTCCCTCTGCCCTGGCCCCTCAGCCTGTGTTGGGAGTTGGATTCTGTGCATGGTGGCCAGGTGGTTGGGGCGCCCTGGAAGCCCTGCTTACCCTCACATGTGTGTGTGTGGGGCAGGGATTGCCACCTCGGACTGACAGCAAGCCACTTCTGCTTTAGCCGAGACAGCCCCTCTCTCTAAGGCCAGGATGGAGAATTCCACTCTCAGGAGGCAGGGGGTTGCAAGCGGGCGCCGGTGAGGCTGATGTGCAGCCCGGGGTCGCGCCCACAGTCTGGGCTTCATTGACCATCTGTGTCTCACTTGCGCCTGCTGGATGGGAAAGCAGCTCGGTGGGGAGCCCTCCAGGAGTTGGTGCCCAGATTCCGGCCCGCGAGGCTATGCCACACTGTCTAGGGCCACAGATAAAACACACTACATGGTGCATGCACATGAGTAACGAGGCTTCCTTTGCGTGTTTAATTACAACATTAAAACACAGTAACACCGCCAGCCTGAGGTTCACAATTAAGTAAGAGGACTTACGTGTTCACTTAGTAACAGTACTCTCTTGTCCTCAAGGTGCACACACACATACATGCATACATTGAAGTATGCTCATTGATGATTGCTGTGTTTTACTCGCAGGTCACACAAGTACACGTGTGATGTCTGATTCACGTGGGATTACAGGGCTGCGTGTGGTGGGCACAGCAGGTGGGGTGAGCCATGAACCGCGCCTGTCCCTACATAGCATTCCCACCTCCTGAGCAGCCCTTGCTCCAGTGCCAACAGCCTGGTCATGAAAGGGTACTGGAATTAGGCAGTGGTGTGGAGAATGTGTGATCTTATGGGACTGCATTACCGTTTTCTAGGGCTGCCTGTGGCCCAGGTTGGACACGCTGTAGCCGGTTGGATGATGTAAGCAGCTTTTTTTAAAAAAATTTTTTGGTGCCTGGAATCAAACTCAAGACCTTGTACTTGTGAGGCAGGCGGCAGCACCACTGAGCTAACTCCCTGGCCCTAAAGGAATTTTTATAAATGAAAGGGAAATCACCTAATTTGGTTAAATTATAAATGTAAGTAGTTTAACTGTTAGCATTCTTGAGAATGTCTTGGTAACATTATCCAAAGGATTGGCTTTTCCTGGAGGAGTTTGGAGTGGTCAGGGCCTGTCTCCCCAAGTTACCCAGCCTGGCGGTGGTACCCACACGCGAAGGCCTTCTCACCCCACGTCAGCAGGGGCTTTGCAGAGAGGAGTCCTGTGGGGTGCAGCTCCCGCCGCTTCCTTCTGTCTCTGCCTCTGCCTCCCTCCTGCGCCTTCTCACCCTGAGGCTGCCCTCTGCCCGGCTGGCTACCGCTTGCCACCCAGTGTGTCGGGTAGGTGCAAAGCGGGTCAGAGGTGCTGACAGCTACGTCCCAGGCGAGCCAGCGTGGGAGCTGCTTCCCAGGCCGCTCCCCAAGGAAGAGCAGTGTGGTGCCTCTCTGAGACCTTGCTCTAACGTTTATAGCTTTTGCAATATGTTTGGGTGAGACTGGAACAGGTAAAGCATTGCTAATTTTTCTCTGTAAGTCCAGACACTGTGGAGGTAAAACTTCTGAGTCCTTAGGGTGGGTGTGGACGGGCCTGTGTCTGGACCTGGCCAGGCCCTGGCGCCTTCTGCTTCTCCCCAGACCGTCCTCCTTTAGCCAAGAAGGGGTGGTTGCGGCATCCCCACATCCTGTGCCTGGCGGCCACGCGCAGGGTGCAGTGGAAAGCTTCGTCCTGGGGAACTTGTCCTTGTTCACCACAGGGGCCTTAGCTGTGGCAATGACGCCGTGTTGTGTGTCACGCTGCAGTGGGCACCACTCCCCTGCAGACAGGCTCCCCACGAGCATGCTCGGGAGATGGATGCCGCGTCGCCCCGAAGACCGTCCTCAGACTGTGGCCTGTTCGCTATGTTCTGTTCTCCACGGTTGCTTTTAGAGCACTTTGATTTACTCTACGATTTAGCATTAGTTCCTACTTTGTAATTAGTTTTATGAGGAATTAATTGATTTGAAGGCATAGAAAAATGAGATTTGGCAGGGCTGGTGGGCTGCGCCTAGTCTTCTCCAGCCTGATGAGCTCCTGGTGAGGAGCAGCCTCCGTGTGTGGCTACAGCTGCCTGGCTGTTCTTCATGTTGGGGAGATGGAGGACCCGTGTCTTTCACAGGGATTGCTTCACTATAGTAGTAGCACACGTTTCAGAGAGAGATCTGAGGGGTGGAAGTGCGTGTACCAAGCCGCCAGTGTGACACCCGTGAACTGTACGAACGATACGCACGCATCATAAAGATGTGACACAGAAATGCAGGTACACGTGCGTGCTTTCAGAGAATAGCTGAGACCACCGTGCTGGCGATGGAAGTAAGTTGCGTGTGTTCTATTTCCCCAGATGGCCCCCCGGGCGGAGCCCCCCGTGAGCAGCGTGGGCAATAGCCTGGAGAAGGCGCTGCGCACATCTGCACATCCCTCAGAGGAGCCCAAGAGACCGCAGGGCAAGCACGGCAAAGGTGGGTCCTGGGCGCCCTGGAGGTTGGGCGGGGAGACGGCAGACCGGGCACGTTCAGCTTTGTAGTGTCTCTTGCTGTCCTGCTTTGCGAGTGCTGCATGAGCTTTTCTTGGCAGAAAAAATATCCAGTGTTGGTGTTGTTAAGGGAGAAGGGTTGTTAGATACCTCCCCTCCCCGCACCAGAGTAAGCGCTCACCCCAGGCCAACCCTGGCGTGGCACCGCCCTGAGCCTGCCGTGTCTTGCAGGCTTCTGTCTGTACTGTCCTGGTGCCAGCAGCCATGGCATATGGCCTGTGTGCCAAGGGCCCGCGCTGTGGTGAGATCTGGGGTCGGTGGCTGACTCGGGCTTCCTGGCACTGAGGAGCCGGGGTAGGTGGTGTGTCACCCTCGGCCATCGGTCCTCACAGCTCTCCAGGCCTGACTCCTGTGGCCATCTGGACAGAGAATTAATTTAGAATTGAGATGGACAAGAGACTCCCTGGGACCTGTACAGTGGTGGGGTGACGGGAGGGGCATCCTGACCGGGCCGTGTGTCATGAGGTCCCTCTGCCGGGCTGCCTGGTCCTGCTCGCTGGGCTTCATCCCCTTCGTCACTGTGGAGGTTAGATCTGTGCTCCTTGCCTGGTCGTTTGCCCGCCTCTGCTGCCCTGTGTCCCCAGCATCATGTCCCTGGTGCGTGGTCAGTGCTGTGTCTCTGAAGTCAAATCCTGTCCTCTGCCTGTGACATGTGGTGTGGCTCAGGGACCTTGCAGCTCCTCGACACCGTGCCGTGTTTGTCATATGGGCGCACAGTGGCCTGAGAGCTCTGGGTCCTCACAGCCCTGTGAGGTGCTAGCAGTGACCGTCCTCAGACCATTGCTCTGCTGCACGTTCCTCCTGCAGATGTCTCTTCCTCCTGGTCACCAGGGGGATGCAGTCGCGGTTCGGCCTCTGATGTACGAAGCCGTGTCACCCCAAGAGCTGCCCTTCCTCCTTCTGCATGGCGTCCCAGGAGAAATGCCACCAGAGCCTGGGCCCTGCGGTCCTCGAGGCACCATGGTCGGTGCCGTTCGGGTTGCTTTGTTCTGGTGTGATTTCAGAATGCCCACCATTCCGTGGCCTGGAGTTGGTGAGCTGGTTCTGATGCTTGCCGTGGCAGGGCACAAGCTGGACACAGCCTATGGCTCCCTCCGCACTTCCCTGTGCTGAGCCCACTCCGTGGCTCCATGTCTGACGCTGGCCTCATGCTTCTCACTGACCCTCTCCCTGCATTGTTGAGCATTCTGATGGTGCAGCAGAAAGTCCGAAATCACTCTGGGCTGTGGTTGATCCCTCTCGGGTCTCCACCGTGTCTTTCTGTGTCTGGCTTGTTTTGATTTCTGTTTGCTTCCTTGGGAGCCTCTGCGGATGGGAGGTGCTCAGACCTTCCCACCCTGACGGGAGCATGGCAGCCACAGCAGTGAGTCTGTGCTGCTCTCTGCTCGGCGTGCCCAGCCTCCACACTTGCACAGCCTTTACCGGGACGCTGCGGTGGATGGCAACAGGAAGGGCGCTGTTTGGAGAACTGAGGCACAGGGAAGCTGGGACTGAAACCCAGGGCCAGTTCAGAACTGTGCTGGTCTGAGGGTCCTGAGGAGCCAGAAGGCAGAGTGTCCGTGTTTGGGCGGAGTGTGGCTTTTCCCGTGTTGTCCGCTGTGAGAGTCCCGTGCAGTGGTGGGGATGGAAGCTCAGCAGTGCAGGCGCCCACGTGCCCAGCATCCAGCGACACTCAGGAAGCACATTGCACCACAAGTCCTGGATGCCGTGGGATGTAACTGAGGACAGTCGTGCAGATCCAGCTTCTGAAGCTCAGGAGCAGTGACTGCATGGGCTGCCATGGCAGGAAGGGGAGGATCGGAGTGCCCGCTGGCGCCAGTGGCAGTGCTAAAGGTTGGGGGTCTCAGGACACCTCTGCCCAAAGGGCCCACCTCCGGCGCACCCTGGATCTGGATGCACACCGCACTGTGAGCTAGGGGGGCGCCCTTGGACCTGGTGAGGGAGAGCTCTGTGCGCTGCGGTGGTGTGGTGCTGCGTGGCACCTGAAGGCTGAGCCCTGCGGGTCCACGTGGAGAGCCAGACGTGGGCACAGTGGCGTCTCCGTGTTGCCGAAAGCCTTGCTGCTTCTCACCCTCCTTCTGCTTTTATTCAGCACTTTATAGTGAGGGCTTTGAGGCACAAAGTGGAGTTCACAGACTGGCAGTGAACACCACTGGATCAGACAAGTTGTTTATGCTGTTGATTATTTTTATTCTATATTTTTATGGTTTTGGCGATCGGGCCCAGGGCCTCGTGTGTGCCAGTTATGTGCTTGTGGCCTTCCTCAGCCTGTTTCCTTGAAGAGTGTGTGCTGGAGACAGGGACAAAGCTGCTCGTCATATAGCAGCTGTGGGACAGCAGAGCTTCCCTCTGGCCACCCAGGTGAGAGGCACAGAGATCACTGTGCGTCTTTTACTTTCAGGTTCCCTTTGGAGGCAATGTAGACTCCTTCAGTACAGTGGAAGAATCTTAAACCAGGTCTCGTGGCACACGCCTGTAATCCCAGCACATGGTAGGCTGAGGCAGGAGGATTGCCGAGAATTCAAGGCAAGCCTGAACTGCATAGAGAGACCCTGTCTAAAACAGAACCAGGGATCAAACTCAGGACCTAGTGCTTGCCAGGCAGGTGCTGGCGCCACTGAGCTAGACCTCTGACCCCTGCAGCTCCCCACGTTGGCAGGGTGAAGGCAGCGCGAGGAGAGGTGCACTGTCGCATGCTTCTGACCCGCCCTCACCTGACGCTCGGCCCAGGCAGTGGTCTCTGACCACGACATGTGTCCGTGTGACTGTGCTGGCCTCAAGCACCCCCTGCTGCGTTTCGCCCCTCGCAGCGCCGCTGGCTGTGGTCTTTTGTGTCTGCGTGGCTGAAGGTATCTTTGTGTGGCTCGCCTTCCTTCTCGCTGATCGCGGAGCTGTGGCTTCAGTGTTGGGCTATGAGCTCTCATGTCCCCATGGTTGTGGCCTCTGACCTACGAGTTTGCCAGGTGCTGTTTTCCTCTGCGGGGCTTTACGTGTTCTTTTGGAACAGGGACTACAGGGCCCCTGGGTGTATGGTTTGTTTTTGTTTTATCTTTTTTCTTGTTTTATATTTATTTCACTTCTTGTCTTTCACCAGACCTGGTGATTTTCAGCCATGTGATTGTCTTTCCTCCTGCTCTTCCGTCCTCTCCACCTGTGACTCTTTTCTTGTTTTTGTGACTGACCGGGGGTCCTCTCCTACACCGTGGACTGTACGCTCTGGGTTTCATTGTGTTCCTCGGCACAGGAAGCACGGTCTACATGCGGCAGACCCCCAATTCTTTGGGTGGCCTCCACGAGGCGTGGTGGTCATCTGGACAGTGCCCTACTGTCCCTCGGCTAGCTGGACTGCGGGCTTCTGGGGACCCTGCTGCTCCCATACTGATGAGGCAGCTGCAGGAGGGAGCCCGGGTGCATCACCTCCCTGTCTGCCTGCATGCTTCTCTGGTGTCTGGAGGTGAGCAGCGCCTGCCTCGAGAACGTGTCCCAGAGTTTATCCGTGCGTGGGAGATGCGCTGCCCGTCTCAAGAGGGACATGGCCTCACCGGTGTCTGAGGGACTTTGAAGAGATCCTTGGCCACTCCCTGGGCTGTGGCCCCACTCACTGGACCCTCCCTCCTGCAGCCCGTGGCTTTGCTTTCTAGGTCCAGGTGGAAGTGGCTTCTGTGGGTGGTGGTGTCCACGTCTAGCATCCAGGACAGCGTGGTCATTGCCCCTCTTCTCTGGTTGGTCTGGTGACTGTGACATGTGGCTTGCTCAGGCTGCCTTGCAGAGCTGGGTCCTGGATCTCCCTGCCAACTTCCGTGACTGCGTCTTTTCTGTGACACCGCCCACCCCACCCAGCCCTGGCCTCCCTGCTGTCCTCGTTGCTCACACTGGAAGTCCCAGCTGTCCTCCTGCCCGTGTTCCCCTCCATCCCCCAGATGTCAGTGCCCTCCCTGTACGCTGAGCGCCTGTCTGTGCTGCACACAGCCACCGCAGCTCTTGAGTGTTCCCACGGGCTGTCCTGCTGAGGGCTCAGGGACTGCAGACCCCATTGCCACGGCCGGTCACATCTTCCACCGCAGCTCGCACCGGCTGTGGCGTCTGTGCCAGGGGCCCTGCTTCTTCTGTCTCGCCTCTGTCTCCCCTGCTGCCCCCGGTCCTCCCAGGTCTTGCCTCCTCCAGGTTTAGGGCTGTGGTGCTTGTTGCTAGGAGCTGTTCGGTGGCCTTGTCCAGCAGCTCTGCCCTTCAGTCCTGCCGAGTGGGGTCTGCTGGGTCCTCGGATGTGAAGACCCACGCGGGTGTGACCTTTGGGCTTCAGCAGGCTGTGTGCCTGGCTGCCTCTGGTGGTGCCTTGTGTGGCTTGGGCTCCCATTCCTTTGTCTTCTCTGTGTGCTGCTCAGGGGCCTCTGAGCCTCGATGTCAAGGCCCCCTGTGTGCAGTTGGATTCAGAGCCTGGCTCCATGTGGACCCCATGCCCTCCCTGCCCCTGCTCCCATTGAGTGCTTTGGGCTCCCTGGGGCTCCCCATTAGGCTTTAGTTAGTTCCTTGGGGTGCTCCTCTGGGAGGACGGTGGGGGAGTGTGCGGCCTCGCCCGCGGTCCTGGTGTGCAGCTGCTGGCTGGCCGGGGAAGACACCCTGCACCCGTGTTCACATTCAGCCAGGGTTTCCTGAAACAGGTTTACCCAGGAAGGGGAGAGGGCACTGGCAACACTGGTAGGCTCTCATTTAGGGTGAGCCCGGAGGTGAGCCGGGTGTGAGTGGGGTGTCAGGCATCCTGCTTCCTGCCTGCAGGAGGTCCTGCCGAGACCGGGGCTGTCAGGACTCAAGCTGAGTTGCATCTGTAGAGAGCAGTCTTCCCTGCTGAAGGGGCCGTCCCGCAGGCGGTGCTCTGCAGCCCAGGCGCGTCCTTCCAGGGGCTGCGGCTCTTCCACACCTGGACACAGTGTGGCTGATGGGGCAGAATTGCTGTGAGTGGGAGACGGATCCCGGAGGCAGCGCGGGGAGTGGCCCTGCCCGGAAACGCCCACAGAGCGCTTGCTCTGAGCTCCGGGTCAGCCAGGGTGGACCGCGGGACTCGGTGGCAGATGGTGACGGAATCCATGTCCTGGGCTCCACAGCTAGTGCTCCCTGGAGCCCAGCGCTCTCTGCAGGCACTCGGAGACACAGACGTGGCACTGTTATGTCTTCAGAGCGACTGTGTCCCCTGACTATTGAGTCAGCCTGCGGTGTCCCTGGCCCGGAGCTGTCTTCCTCAGGTCCGACCCGGGTCTCACGGCGTGTGAGGTGCTGCTGAGTGGGGTAGAGCCGAGTGCGCTGGGGCGTGACCGTGCTGCCCCATGAGCTCGCTGGCTGCGTGTGATGCTAAGATTCAGGTCTACGATAAAGACCGAAGCCTCACATTCTTAAGTTTACTAGAAAGGATGATAAAACATGAGAACTGTGTTCTCACTATCTGTCCCCAGGCGCTCGCTGCTTGGGCCCTCTGAAGCTGCTGCGTGGGCCTGTGGGCCCTAGAAGTCTTGCACAGGGCCCGATCCCCCTGGGGCAGCAGGGGCCACAGCTGTCCCTGGCTGGGTTGTGTTGTGTGTGTGTGGGGGGGTCCGCCCTGCAGGGCTGTGGGGTGTGGCGGGGAGGGCGTGGCCCTGCCAACTGGACACACCCATTCCTGCATAGCCAGCCCTCAGCTAGCAGTTTGCTGGCTCTGGGTCCTGTCCTCTCGGTCCCCACTTTGTCCAGTCAGGTGACAGAGAAGGTGGCCCCTATAGTAAGTCTTTCACGGCTCCAGCGTTGAACGCCTGGGTAAACAGCTCTTCACCCTAGGCACAGACCCCACTGCCCCGCTGCCTCCAGCATCATGCCTCTCGTAGGACCAGACGGGGCACTGGCGGAGCTGGTGGGCACAGCAGCCCATGGCACTTTTGTGCGGCAGCCTTGAGCTCTTGGCCTGGCGTCTAAGGTGCCGTTCATTTGAAAATAGCTGAATGATGCTGTCTGCTTTTCTGTCACTTCCCCGGGTCCAGAGGGGTTTTTCCTGTCTTGTCCACACGTGGGACTTGAGGGAGCAGAGCAGGTGCTGGGCACCTCCGCAGGATGGGAGGATGCTGTGCTTTCTGTGGCTTCCGGAGGGAAGAGCTGTGGGTTGGAGTGAGCCACTGGGCACGGTTTTAAAAACATGGTGTTGGAGAAACAGAAAAGCTGCTTATTTGCTGACCATTGCACCGATGAGGCGAACCGAGCGGTGAGCAGCTCCTCAGAGAGCAGCAGGTGGTGACAGCTCCCAGTGTAGTGCGTTGTTTCGCCATAAGGGAAACGACTCTTCTTGTCCTGTGGAGATCCTCCTTCTGCTGAGGGCTGTTTTAGGCTTCCGACCCGGTCTCCCAGGGTGCACACCGACCTCAGGCTGTCCTGAATCTGGGGCCTAGTGCGAGTGGGGTGATGTCACACAAGCTCTGCCTGTGGTGGTGACCTGGTGACGCATGGTGTGGCCGTGACCCAGGAGTGCCCTGCCAGGGGCCGAGATGAGCAGGTCTGCGCCGGATGGCAAAGTGGCCACCACCATGTGTGGTATTGGGACTCAGACCGCGGTTAGCACCGAGGACTCAGACGTTTAGCTTTACTCCATTTTAATTAATTTAATGTAGGTGGTTACGAGTGGCTGCTGGCTGCAGCGCTGGGCAGCCCACAGACCAGTTGTTTCCAGGCATGGTTGGGATTGTTTGAAAACTGAAACCATTCACGGGGCTTGTCAGGGCCGTAAGGGGTTTCTGGGATCCCCCCAAGATCTTTTGTCCACGCAGCTTTGAGGTGTCCCTGAACCCAGTCTCAGACAAGGCCTCTAGACGTGGAGGAAGGTATCCTGGGCTCTCCCACTGGCTGGTCAGGGCCAGGACGGTGGCTGTGGGTCTCTGCACACTGGAGATGCCAGTGTGAAGCAGCGGCTGTGTGGAGCTGTGTGTGGGGCTGGATGTTGATCCGATCCTGATCCTGTCCTTGGCTCAGTCCTGACAGAGAAGGCTTCAGGCAAGGAGGGAGGCAGCCTGTCTCCTGTGGCCTCGTCACACAGTGGGAGGGCGAGCGTGCAGCAGGACACAGGGGCCATGCGCAGAGGGTCTCCAGGCCTCAGCGGGCGCGGGGACCCCTCCTCCTCTGACCGTTGGTCACCTGATGGCTGTGCAGGGCCTGGCTCCTCTGGGGTCTCAGTGTTGAGCCTGTGCCCTCCTCTCCTGGCCCTGGGCCTCCCAGTCCCACCCCAAGTGGCCCCACAGCATGGCCCCTGCTGTCCTCTGCTGGTTCTGGTCCCAGTGACGCCCTGCACAGGGTCCTTGGCAGGCCCAGGTGTCACAGGCCTCACTTTGAAATCACTGAGTTGTGTGTGAATTGTCTTTTCTCTTGTAATTTTGCTTCTGTTTGTTTACTTTTACAGTGAGTGTTGAAAAGATAGACCTGAAAGGATTGTCACACACAAAAAGTGACAGGAATGTTGAATGTTCCTTTGAGGTAAGATGCTGCTTTCCTTCTGCCTCCGCGGCCCCTTCTCTGCAATAAGAGACACAGTGCCCAGTCTGGCACCCAGCACAGGGCTGGGCGGGCCTCTCCCAGGAAGAGTGGTCACATTGGCTGCAGGCGGGGCAGGCGGGGTGGTTGAGGTGCATCTCTGTCACACTGTCCCATGGACAGTGGCTGAACTCTGGGGGCCGGGCCAGGGTGGATATTCTCAGTAAACCTCATGGTCTGGGGAGGGGCGAGATAGCAACGCTCTGCGTGAGGCCGACCCGGGGAGCACAGATGCCCACGAGGACTACTAGTTGGGCACAGAAAAGGTCTCTGAAGGGACCTGCACCTCCACGGTAGGTAGGCGGTGCCCCTCACTGATTAATGCAACTCTTACGAAATGAGATGTGCTGATGCTCAGACGGGACTCTGTGCAGTCCACGTCCCTCCACTCCGGTGCGTTGGGCACAGCCTGGCTTGTGTGGCAGCTGCGCCCTGTCAGAGCTCACATCCTGGCTCCCCCCAGCTGCTGTGTGAACCTCCCTGAGCCTCTTGGTCCCGGAGGGAGGCCAGGGCTCTGTCCTCAGCATTTTCATCCTGGGCAGCAAGATGCAGCCTGAAAAATAAGAGAAAGCAGGTTCTGTTGGCCAGAATTTAATTCTCGGTCCCATGTAGCTGCAGGAGAGGCAGGGAGCAGCATTCTGGCTGACCGTGTCCTGCTGTACTAGGGCCATGTTGATTGATCGCCGACTGTGTGCGGTGCTGGCCACTGACTGATCGTGTTGTCCGACCCAGCACTGTCGGGTGTGTGCCCAGGAGCAGTGTCTGGCGCCCATGCTGGGAGAAGCTGACAGTTCCTGTCAGCCGGTGGCTGGGTTACAACACCTTGAAGCACTTTTCCCACTCCAGGGTCCTGTCTGGTGGGCTGGGGGAGCTGCCAGTCATGAGATTTGATTGCCACCCACATGCAGGGTTAACTGTGAGGGAGCCCCAGGGGTTGGACATTGCTGGCTTCCTGTAGGGTCCACTGGAGCCTTGGCACATAGAATCCCTGAGGGAATCTGTGGGGCAGCAGGCTGTGTGCAGCCCTGGGAGGCACCAGCTGCGGACACGGCTGCTCATCGCTCCTTCCCCTCTGTATCTGCCCCTCACCGTCCTGCCTCCTTAGAGGGATGTCACCATCAGCATCCAGCAGAGCTATTTTGGGAGCATGTTGTGCACAGAGCCCCGTAGAGTTGGCTGTGTTTCCGTCCGGTCACGGTGGGTCCTGATCCCCCTCGTCCCTGGGGGGGTTATCCTGGCAAGTGTGAACAGCACGCAGCAGGGCATTGTCAGCCGGAGTCTGTCGGGGCGCGGATAAGCGCCTCACGGCCTTTCCCTGGGGAAGGGAGGAGCAGCTGCAGCTGCCAGCTGGCGCCCAAAGGACTCGAGCAGCCTGGCTCTAGGGGTCCAACTCCACGGCCCAGGCTGTGCTGCTGCTGGTGCCGGTCCTGGGCAGGCCTCGTCCACCCACAGTAGAAGCAGCTGGCCTCTGGTGACCGTTCCTTCTGTTCTCCGTGAGTGGCACTTGTAGGGCACCGATGGTGTCCCTGTGTCTGTACCACCCGCGTGGCAGCTTCGTCTCTGTGTCTCACCTCAGCCCCAGAGTCTGTATTGTTGGAGACTGCGGGCTGTGCAGGAGGGGCGAGGGCGGTGTGTGCAGAGGAGGGCGCCGTGCACCTCCAGCCTCCTTGGTTTCCTGTTTGGCTGACCTCCCCCAGTTCCAGCTCATGAAAAGTGATCACGGAGCTGGGCCCCCCATGTGCTTGTCTCACTCCCAGGCTGGTGGCGTGGACGTCCAGCTGCTCGAGGGAGCATGGGAAGCCTCACCCTGCACACGGGCCAGCCGGCAGTAGTCCTGCACCCAGTGTCCCGGCTTCCTGGAGAATCCTGAGAGAGAAGGGGACCATCCGGGGTCACACGTCGACTATATAATGTAGTTAATGCATGCAAGCAGCAAAAAACTCCCTTAGTTTTTAAGTATTTCATTATAACTTAAAAAGAAGGCAGCATGACAGCTGGTGGGATGTGTGGCCTTAGTTTTGGGAAGGCAGTGCCTAGTGTCGGGTTTCATGGATGTGGCCAGTTCCCCTGCGTCCTCAGTGTGTGGTCAGAGTGTCTTTGTCCAGTCTTACTGAGCGTGTCCACTGTTGGCCACTGCCCCATGCCCTGCAGCGTTCTGTTGTCGCCTGTGCACATGGTCAGAGACAGTGGACAGCATGCCAGAGCTGTATGGGCAGCAGGTGGGCACTGGGGAGGAGGCACCACGTAGCATCCATAAGAGGATGCTGCTTGCCAGGCTGGAGTCTGCTCCCTGCTGGTGGCAGAACCCGCATGTGGAGGAGTTCAGATAAAGCTCTGGGGTGCCTGGCAGACCTACCCCTGGTATCAGCCATGCAGGACATTCGCTGCGGCTTTTCTGGTGGCACCCAGAGTGGCCATGCATCTGTTCTTAGGAAGATGGACACAGGCCTGCTCTTGGTCCACCCCTGACTTAGGAAGGAGTGGGCAGTGGCCTCTGCTGGACCCGCTTCCCAAATGCGCTCACTGTACAAGTCCGGACAGACGGGTCATTGGCACAAATCCCTAGGAAATGAGGGCTAATCTGCAGCCATAGGACGCTGGCCCGAGGTCTCCCGAAAGAAGGCTGGTGGTGGTGGCGGGTGACAGCAGTCACAGAGGTCACTCTCTGGTGCCCTCTGGGTGTCTTGGAGAGGGCTGGTTTCGTGGTGTCGAAGATTGGGCTGTATACCTTGTGTATGTGGTTTGTGGTCATCCGTGACTCAAAGCTCTTTAAAAATTGAGGAAACCAGGTATAGTGGCACATCCTTTTAATCACAGCTACTCAGGAGGCTGAGACAGGAAGATGGCAAGTTTGAGGTCATTTAGTGAGACTCTGTTTTACAGTTTTAAGAGTCTGGGGATGTAGCTCTGGTGAAATCCACAGACAGCAGGCCTGAGGCCTTGGCTTCAATCCCCAGTATCAGAAAAAGAGAAAAAACCCCAAAAAGCCTTCCTTTAGTCCATGAAACTCTCACTTAATGAAAATGAAGTTAATCGTCCTTTGAGCCAGCTGTCTTTTGTGAGTGATGTAACAATGAGAAAGCCACGCAAGGAAGTGCTTCTCCAAGAGAGCCGAGAGTCGGGAGTTACCCATGCCCGCCCAGTCCTGCGCCCTGTCCACTCTGGCTGCGCACAGACAGGGACGGCCCTGCGGTCGGTCGGGGAGACGCAGGTCTGTGACTCCACCGTATGCTGCACAGAGGATTTGAGCCGCCTGGTCTTTGTTTTTGCTGAAATTGTAATTGCTAGTTACCCGTTACTGGGGAGGCCAAATCAGTGTGTAGGAAGCAAATGAGAGAATATTTTTGTATGTAAAATTAGTATGTAACTGTATACATGGGAAATGCCTGCATTTTACCAGCTTTTCCACACTCACTATGAAGAAGGACTGAAATAACTAAAATTTTTCAAAAGAAATTTTACTTCTTATACTTGCCGAATAGGGAAGAAAGTATACAAAAGATTCCCCAACTGTTGACACACCTCTGATGTTAGAGTTGTGGTCATTTAAGAGCATTGCTAAAAATGCTAGGAAAAAACCATTTTTGTGTGTGTGGTGCTGGGGATGGAACCCAGGCCTTTCACTGAGATGCATCTCTAGCCCCTTTTCTTTTCTCCTCCCCTCCCTTCATTTTGAGATAGTCTCACTAATTTTCTAAGTTGCCTAGGCTGGGCTTGAACCTACAACCCTTCTGCCTTTGTCTCCTTTGCAAAGTACATCCATATTACAGGCATGGATCACCATGTCTACCTAAAACAACTCTTTAAAAACTGTACCTTTTTAAACCAGGCACGGTGGCGCACACCTGTAAATCCCAGCACTCTCCTTCATTTTGAGATAGTCTCACTAATTTTCTAAGTTGCCTAGGCTGGGCTTGAACCTACAACCCTTCTGCCTTTGTCTCCTTTGCAAAGTACATCCATATTACAGGCATGGATCACCATGTCTACCTAAAACAACTCTTTAAAAACTGTACCTTTTTAAACCAGGCACGGTGGCGCACACCTGTAAATCCCAGCACTCTGGAGGCTGAGGCAGGAGGATCACTGTGAGTTTGAGACCAGCCTGGCCTACATAGTGAGTTCCAGAGCAGTCTCCACTGCATAGTGAGACTCCCAAAAA